TATGCGAGCATGTTTATACATTTACTGTCAATGTGTATATGTAGACAAACAAACAAACAAACAAACATTTTTGACTTTGACGCTTTGCGTAGTCAGAGCTCCAGTGAACATAACCCGGCAGGTGCGTGGACAGACAGACAGACAGACAGACAGACAGACAGACAGACAGACAGATACCGTTACAGACTTACACACATGAAGCGAACAACCCCCAGGTGAGGGGGCCCAGGATGCAGAAATCGAGGACTCCCTGCAGCTTCTGGGTTGATTCGGTCATTTGGGGCTGGAAAATGCCGTCTCAAAGTCACGGTCGTCACGGTGGGGGATGTTGATCTTCGACAAAACCTAAGCTGGTCCGTCATGCCGGGGATTGAGCATTTGAGTTCAAGGTTGCAGCTTTCTCATTTCTGACGGGCGAGAGCCCTGATGTATGTCATATTATATTACAGTGCATTATTCTTGTATAGCACTATGTACGTTCTATTGTTTTCTATAATGTTCATACTATAGGGGCCTTAAGATTTACTCACATTATTTGGGGGGTTCCTTATTCCAATTATAGTAGAATATACACCAAAAACCTAATTCTAATTATTAAGGCCCCTGTACTAAACCCTTATAGAACCCTGATAATAACCGCTGTAGTATATAACCCTTAAAAGGAGCCCTATTCTAATTATTAGGGCCCCTACATTACTAGATTTCGTTGTCCCACCTCACGAGTTTGACGATGCGAAGCGCGGCTGCGAGTTTGGACGGCCGCGCGCTCTGACCGGCACAGGGCACAGGGACGCACAGGGCTGTCCTTTACGTAGGGTTTAGGGTTTTGAATTGAGGGTCCCTAAACCCTAAAAAAAAACCCTAGACCCTAAACCCTAAACCGTAGGTTTAGGGTTTAGGGTTCAAAGATCTCACTTCAACCTCGGAGCGACGTGCTGAAGCATAGACATGGGTGTTGTTTTAGGAAGGAGGGGGCCCCCAGAACAGACACTGAACCCTAAACCCTAAACCCTAAACCCTAAACCCTAAACCCTAAACCCTAAACCCTAAACGTGTGCTCTCTGACCTTTGGAAGGGCCAGAAGGGACCTCGAAGCTGGTGAGAGTTGAGGGTTTAGGGTTTAGGGTTTAGGGTTTAGGGTTGAGGGCTGTGATAGCTAAATAATAATTACTGTAATGAAACAAAGTATCTTGTTTTGTATTGCAGCTATGCTATAGTAACTATACTATATACGGTATTGTATTAGGGTATATGGTATTGCATTTTTTTTCTAAATTGTGCTTCATTATCTGACATTGTGTTTCATTTCATTGTTGTTGGTTCTTCAGGAGATCGACGAGAACTCGGAAATGGCCAAAGACTTGATCTTTCTCCACGTGCGGGGCGAGTTGCAGAACAAGGAGCTGCCAGGTAATAGTCCGTGGCTCTTTGTTGATGAATAGTTTTATGACCGCGCATTAGGCAGTATAGTTAATAGTTACAAGTATTCTGAGTCCAAGGTTTCAGGTATTGAGTCGCTAGCGATTGCACCATCAGCTAGCAGCACTGAGCTTCAGAGCGTGGGCAGATGCGCTGGCCGAGTCCAGCTGCAAAGTTCAAAGCGTGCAGGGTTTAAGGTTGGTCGCTATGCATAACTTTGGCGATTGTGAGCAGCAACAGTTTCTGCCCTTTCTTTAAATGACAAAGCACGTCCCTTGAAGGATAGTATATTTCGGGGATGGCGAGAACCACCATGCCTTCGTTTCCCTAGGACTTAGTGTTCAGAACTCCGGTGAGCTTTTGCAGAGGTTCGGAGACGTTTGTAGATGTCCCCATGGTGCCAAAAAAAGCAACAACAAGGCTACCATCGAAATGCTACTCCGAACAACAGCAGCAGGAACAAGGCCCGACAGTACTCAGGTGATACTGGGTTTCAGGCACATCTTTTAACCTATGATAATAGCAGAGACCGCACATATTGAGCATACAGAGCACCAGCTCGCAAGGATCCTGTTGAGGGCACAGACAACCGTCGAGAGGAGCACAGAAGCCCAAACCCCAAAATCCCGCTAGAAAAATGGCAGCGTCTGAGTTGAAGTTATTGTAAACTCACGAGCCTACGGCTCAAGGCTTTCAAGTACAACCTCCCTACGACCTTTTTTCGCATCAGCTACAGAAGACGAAGCTCGAAGCAATGGCAGCGGTTTGCCCGATCTGCTTTGAAGACGATGGCCGGCCTGTTGAGTATAGCAACATGGACAACCACAGCTGGCACAACCGACATTGCGATGCGCATGGCATCTGTTGGAAGTGTTTGAACCGATTTGTGGAGGTGCAGATTCTGGAGGAGGGCCGATTCAACATCAAGTGCCCTGGAATTGGTTGCAACTACCGCCTCCTCGCCCTCGATGTGGAGAGGGCCTTGGAGCTGTCAGAGCCGGAATGCCAGCAAGTGGCACTAGAGCGCTACGGCAGCATGCGCAGTGCGAGCCATGGGCAGAGGCTTCGGGAAGTCGTCCTTGAAACGGCCGGGCCTTCAGAACGCTGGCTGTTGGAGGAGTGCCAGGCATGTCCTCAGTGCCTTTCATTGGTTCGGCGCGAAAATGGCTGTCTTCACGTCTTCTGCCGCTGCGGCTGCGATTTCTGCGCCGGTTGCGGCAGCCCCAAGCATTGCCTGTGCTCTCAGCTGGAAAAGGACCGCGAGATCGTCTTTGCAGCATGGCTGCGGATATCCCCAGACTCGCCAGCAGCATGGCTGAGGGACTTGCGCTGCGACAGGCAAGAGGAGCATCTGCTGACCACTTTGGGTTTCTTCCTTTGGATGGCCTACCTCCCGGTGGATCTACCCTGGACACGTGCCCTGGAAGAGCCGGAGCACTCGCTGCCGCCAGTGCGCTGGCGATCCAAACACTCGGACTACAGTGACTACAACGCCGGCATCAGCGGTTGGGCATTCGACTTGGAGCCAGCCCAAGTCTTCCGCTACCCACTCAGCTCTTGGTGTAACTCGGTTGATGGCGACGAAGAAGAGAACTGCTTCCAGCACTACCGGCGCGCACCCCGTCGGCCCTGGCGTCCCTTCGCCACTCAGCGCAGCTCCCGGCGACAGGACCGACGCCACTACACGCCCCTGCGCTGGAAAGACGTCCGGCCGTGGACCGGGGATGACGCAGCCGCGCCCCTGCGTCGCCGAAGGCAGCCCCGAGCCGTGGGGACAGGCGCGCGCTCAGCGGAACATGCCGCGGCTGCTGCTCGCAAGGTGTGCGCACTCCGCACCCGCCGACAGGAAATGCGCAGATGCTTCAGGGAACAGCTGTTGCAGTTGGATTGAGGTTCTCGTAGACTCGTAGACGGGAGGCTAGATTGCAGAGGTTCTGTTGAATGCGAATTTCTCTGTCTCTGACTGCCGAGCAGCATTTGATAAAGCCATCCTGGCTGGGGTACTTGTAGAGTTGCATGTAGAGATCTGTCTGGCAGCTCGGCAGCCGGCCAAGAGGATTCCGTTGTCCGGGTTTCTGTTCTTAGATTCGAGTGCTCCGGTACGGTCTTGCAGATTCCCATGTCCCGGTCTTTGTACAGTGTACAGAATTCCACTGTCAGTAGTTTGGGTTTCCAGGTCGAATCTAATGTCAAAGTAAGACTGCGATTTTGGCATGCTTTGTATATACATGTGTACAGTTGCCAAGTGATCGGTTTCAAAACAGCTCGCCGCTTGGAAACCTCGCCTGGATTTCCCGAGAGCGAGCGCCTGTTAGGAGTGGCGCCTGGGCAAGACGCCGGAGTTCTCGCACCAGCAGCTCATTTTTGACTGCGCACGTTTGTTTTCTTGATGGGATCGATATCATTTTTGATGGTTTGTTGGGGTTTTCAGGGTGTTAATGGATTAGGCCGCTTAGGCTGTAGTTGTTGATGAGGTGGGTTCAAGCGCTTTGACAGGGCCTGAGAAGGGTTGACGAGAAGATATTTCGGAACTGCGAGCTTTGGTCATTTCGCGTCGTCGTTCCCTTGGGGGAAGTCCTCTCCTTCATACCACGCAGGCCCCGGAATCTCTAGCACTCCGAAATACTGTGCGCCCAAGACATCCCTAAGCCCTGCGCCGCGCCGGCAGCTCAGGACGAGTGTGGGTTTCGCAGCGCGTTTTGGAGCTGTTGGCTTTCCGTATAGACAGCCGAGGTTCGAGACTCGCATCGACGGCGTTGGGGTCTTTGATGTGAATCTCAAGGTCCCTTGCTTAAAGTTCTAAGGCTTCCTTTCAACGGCTCTCTAGAAGTATAGGGGCCTTATTTCAACGGTTCTCTAGAAGTGTAGGGGCCTTAGTTATTGAAAAAGGGTTTTGTGCTGTGTGCTTTCGCATGTTGGAGCTTGAGGTGGGGTTTCTGTAAATTCCGGATACTCGTGGTATCAGTCTCCTGTTGAGTGTGGGATGGTATCGTATATATATATATATATATATATATTTGTATATATTTGTAAATCAAGGCATTTCTTTTCGACAGCGCTCTGGTAGCATCGGGTCTTCTATTGACTCTGCTCACAACTATGTAACTACGTCGGAACGATAAACCAAGTAGTGCGATTGCGCGATAAACCCTGGACTCGAAGACGTGGTGTCTGCGGCACTCGGGGTGTGTTGGATTGCTTCCGGTGTGGTGGACGGTTCCGGGATCTGCCGGAGATGTCAGATCGGGCAGCGCATGGCGACTCCGTTATTTAACGCGTTGTGCTCGGCCTGAAGATCCTTGCCTCCTTACCGTGCCGAAGTTCTGGGCTTGGTGGCTTGGGGCTTAGAGAAGTTTACAGAGTTAAGGGTCGTTTGATGTTTATGTGACGTAGCACGCAATAAGTTATTGAAGGAGCTCAAAAAAGTCTCGAGCTTGGCCTGAAGACTCTCCGAGTCCAGAGAACTATGATACCAGCAGCAACAACAACACTTAAGAAAAGCTCATAATAATAACAATAAGAACAATAGTTATAAAAGTAACAATGGTTCCATACTAGTAACAATAATGATAAGGACAGCAATGATACAAAAGGATTCCGGCTTTGGGTCGAGGGTGGACGGCTTCATGATTGCTGCTCGCTGCCGAAACGATTTCGGGCGGGTGAGAGGCATCATGCCAGGATTCGTCAAAGCATGAAGGCCATTGTCATTCCCGTAGTAGGTTATGGGCTTCGTCTCAACCACACAGACTAGCAGATCTGGCGATCGCATGGCGTCCAGATGCAACAAAAAATGCTCTAGACCTTACTCCTCGCCTGGATTGTCCAAGTGTGAATGCCGAGACCTCCGATGTACTGCATGTCGGAGCCTATGGCAGCATGAGCAACGAGCGAGAAACCTCCGCGGTTTTCTGGTGGCGCGGTGAGTTTGGGGTTGGGGGTATGCGGGAAAGTTCCACGTCGAACAGGGCCTAAACTCGAAGGTATTTTAACCCTAAACCCCTAAACCCTAAGTCCTGAACCCTTGGGTCATGAGTTCCTGGTACCAGTATCACGCCGACCCAGAACTATGGAACCTCGCCTGGCTCGTCCGAGTTGTGAGAGCGTAAACCTTCAAATCTTAAACCCTGAAGCTCTTATGGTATTCCGGAACCCTTATCAGGCGAAGGAAAAGAGGTCCGTTCCGTCTTGGCAGGTCGTACAGGGCCGCATCGAGGAGGCACGCCGAGCCGTGGGATTCGGGGCTGACTGTTGGGAAATGTCCGGTTCGGGGATCCAGCATTCATGGCTCGAAACAGGGACCCTAAACCTAAACCCTCAACCCTAAACCCTAAACCCTAAACCCTATGTAAATGTAGGGCGTGCAGGGGTTCAAGCTTCAGGCTGCGATTTTGGGGCATTTCAGGTAGCCTGGGCTTGGTTTCCGCGGGAGTCGCGTAGCTGCAAGGGTTCAGGGTTTCTTCGGTTGTTGGGGTGTGTTTGCAAGGGTTACATGCACCTTGTGGTGGGACCTTAAGTCAGCATAGTCTACTATTTTCGATCTTTCTTGGGGTCTTTCTGCTTACTGAAACTCCCATCTCCCAAACTCCTAAACCACTTCTGTTACCCCGTGCAGTACCTTGTTGAGGGTCCAGGGCTTCCGCTACTTTAGGGGGGCCTCCCTCTTGTAATTGTTGTATAATATACCCCAAAACCCAAGTCAAATTATTGAGGCCCCTATATTATGCGGTACCGGGTCTGACAGGTGACCATCTTCAGCGACGCGCTTTTCCCGGACGTGATCTCTGAGTCCATGAATGTCTTGAAAGGCCGGGTTTGGGGTTCAGGGTTTAGGGTTCAGGGTTTAGGGTTTAGGGTCCTGAACCTTAAACCTTAGAGCGAAGCTTCCAGGCCCAAATGCCTGAACCCGGAGGCTGAGGTAAGCAAAGATCCTGGTCCTAGTCCTAGGTGTTCGGCACCTAAACCCTAAACCCTAAAACCTTAAAGCCTAAAGCCCTAAACCCTAAACCCCCTAAGCCCCCCTCCATCCCCCTCTAAATCTTGAGCTCTCCAAGCCCTACGCTCTAACCAAGCTGCAGACTCTTCGGCTTCCGGGGTTTGGGGTTTCGGCGGTCTTTGTTTGGTAACCTGGAGCTTTGTGTTCATGGTCTAGGTGAAAGTAGCAGATAGGGCATGAAGCCCAAACCCAACAGTCAGTTCAGCTTTGAGGAATTCTTGCAAGACGGTACAGAAAATGCATGCAGCCCCAGAAAGAACGCGACCGACACCGACTCACACCTAAACCCCAAAGGCGTCAATATGAACATGAGCTCTTGAGCTTCTTCGACGTGCCCGGTCTACTTAGTTGATGTCCGGTCCACCCGTTTCCAGTGCTCCAGCCGAACACAAACTGAAGGGCTTCAGTTCTTCGGGTTCTGGGTTTTAGGGGCAAGGGTTTTAGGGCTTAGGGTTCTAGGGTTTACAGAAGCAAAGGGTCTCCGGCTAGCGTCAGAGACCTGGCTTCAAAAACAGGGAAGGGGTTCGGGCTGCTCAGATTGGTCAAGCTGAGCAGCTAAACGGCTGCGGCCAGACAAAGCTGTCGTCGCGTGGCATGTAGCATAGAGACTTGGACATCCAGTGGAGCGGTCGCGTGTCACCCTCGCCGAAAACACCTCCGAAGGTGTGGAATACGGCAAGAGCAGCGTCTTGCCTGAGATATATTACTAATATTGCTGGTTTGCCGTTGTTGATATCCGTGTTTTGTTATTATAATTGTCATTATGGTTGCTGTATTTGTTCTTCTTTTTCATGTCATTCTTGTTGTCATTCTGTTCTATTTGTGGAAGATCAGGCCCCTTCAGCTCCGAATGCCCCGTGCTGCTAAGAACTACCCTAGGGTTCTGAAAGTAGTTATAGTAGACATTTTTGCCAACGCAATTCGACCGTAACCTACGACGGCACGCTTTTCTTGCTACTTGGCTCTATGACCCTATTTTCGGAGATTCCCGCATCAAACAGAAAGTGTAAGAAGCGTCGAGTTCAGCACCGTTTCAACGGCTATGCATCGTGGCCATCGCAAAGGTCGTGTGACGGCGATCTCTCGTGGTTTTCGTGTCCTTCTCATCTTTGCAGACAGAATATGTATCTAGATCGACGAAGTCTTCCTATATTTCAGCGAGGCCTGCGATGAGGTTGCGAGGTTGCTATGCTTCATCATGCACCCAGGTCTTGAAGCAGAGTGAGTCCCGATATTGAAAATCTGCTGATCATTGTCTCAAATTTGGCCCTCCGAAGCATGCGGAAGAGAACCCGCGAACCCCCAATCCTACACCATAGTCCTAAGTGCTCAAGTACGAACCCCATACCCGAAACTATGGTTCAATCATGTTCAGTCTGAGTTCCGACCAAGACACAACAGCCGTTGTAGCGCGAAACTCCTGTCTCGCTTGTCCCACATATTCCTTTGTGAATCTTGCCTTTGTACCGAGTAGATGTCGCCGTTTCAGCAATTCTTGCTCCGGATGAGCTTATGTGACTGCCGCTGTTCTTCATCAGTCTTACTGCACATCATGTCAACTCGAGCTCGCTGTGTGAAGTGACCTTAGGCCGTTCATAGGTTTGGGGTTTGGTCGGGAGCTCGAGCCTGTCACGAACAATGAGACCGCTTCGAACCTGCGTTGGCGAACGCCTAAACCCGAAAAAATCCTAAACCCTCAACCCTAAACCCTACCCCCGAAAACCTAAACCCCGAAACCCTAAACTCTTTAGGCGTCAGCGCTGTGTTGGCAATGCTGCGGATGGAGTTTGATGAGCCAGGCCTGGGTTTAGGTGAAGTCCGTTGAACGAATGTAATGTCTGAGCCCGAAGAACGCTATGACTGGGGTTTGTGGGTTTAGGGTTTAGGGAGCTGATTGGCAGAGTCTGGGTTCAAAAAAGGGGTAGGGTTTATAAGGGTTTATAGTACTTAAATCAGGGTTTAGGGGCCCGAATAACTAGCAGCATGATTCAATAGTGGTTGTGTAGTACCATCAATCGTTTGTAGCTAACCTCAGAAGAGCCATGGTGCTGTAGGGTCGTTCTTTTCCGCAAATATCACATGCACTTGATTTGTATGTATGCGTCTGTTTGCAAACGTTAAGCCCGCCTCAAACCTTGACCCTGAATCCTTGCAAAGCTGGGATGCAAACTGGCACCCCAAAGGAGGGGAGTTTCCGGCACCTGATTCAATGTTCAGGGTAAAGAGTGGGTTAAACAAGAAGGTAAGGAGTTCAACATGCCGGAGAAAGCCATCCGCACTGTAGTTTCCGCCTCCAGCAGCAACTACCGCACGAAGCACCGCAACTATGTGCTAAGTGTGACAATGGTGCGCGTCAGATTCACACAGCTGAAGCAGCCGTAGATGAAGGTATTGTGATACCATGTAGTAGAGCGAAGAACCAAGAACGAAGTACCAGCAGCAGGCAGAGTAGTAGTGGCACTTGCAACACTTGTACCGGTAATCGCTTGACTTTCATCTCTAAGTACATCATCGCAAAGTATCCCGCGATCGAGAGCGACGTAAGTGCACCCCATGCAACCACCATTGAATCAGTGTTAGGAAGAAAAGCGCAGGTGCTTCAGTGACAAAGGAACAGCCGTAAGAAACCAAAAAGCCCAAAACACCCAACATCCATGGTATAAAGCAGCTATCATCGACCACGGCAGGACCGCTCAAGACCTTGGACTCTCTTTCGCAGCATCTGGGCTTCACCCCAACCTTGAGTTCCTGGTATTTTGGAGTTTGAACGCGTTGTCGGCAGGGTTCTGGATTTTTTTTTTCTCCGGGGGGTTGGTGGGAAAAAGGGCAGTGCGTTTGCGCGTGTTGCGAAGTGCTTCCACCGATGCTGCATGTGCAAGTGACAAATCTGACAAGTCGTCGCAGCCTGCTTGCTGGCAAGGTTCATGGTGTCCAGTATTGAGGAATGAAAGCGGCAACGACTGAGATGAGCGACATGTTGCAGCAAGCTTTCAGTAGGCCTAGCTGATATCCAAGGTCCAGCCTGTCCAATAATTTTCGCAAGCTCCCCCCTGTCTGCCGTCATCCGTGGTATGCATTGCTAGGGAATTTAGCCTTGTGCTCGTATCGCGGTCATGTGCTTTTTGCTGATTATGTACATATGCAAATGTTGCTGACGGTGATACACGCAAGGGTGACAAGATGATAATCCGATTTTCATTGGTTCCATCCGCAAGCATTGTCTTTGTTTCGCAGGGACCATAACACCCTAAACCCTAAACCCCCAACCCGGCTCCTGCTCGGACCTAGTAACCTAGTAGAGCCCTTTCAGTTCTCCACGTCCGGACGACCGGACTTTTTCTGTCGGCGTGAGGCAAAAACGGCAGCACCGGGGGGCTCGTTTTAGCATTGCCGCCCTATTTAGAATGAGGTATGCTGACCTTGCTGGAGCTTTACAAGTTGCTGGTGGCATTTGCTGGTGGTATTCATTAGATCACTCTTAAGGTTTTTTTGATATGCTCCGAAACCCTTTGCCGAGTATTTGGCTGCCTTGTTCCAGCTCTCAGTGATCCCGAGCATTCACAGGGGGCTTCTATCCTCACTATGGTGGCTAATCGAGTTCAGTCGTCTTTGGGGTATCACTAAGCCGAGCTTAGCCTTACGCCTAAACCCCAAACCCTAAACGCCGACTTCGCCCGATAGACCTCGCCTGGATTGTCCAAGTTGTGAGGGTACAGACCCTAAACCCCAGAGTTTGAGCTAAACCCTAAACCCTGTCCCAAAGCTGCACTAAAGCCTGCTGCATTCCCAAAGCTTCTGAACAACCCTGCAATGCCGGCTCGTCCTTGCTGAGTGGGAGGGAAAAAAACCCCAAACCCTAACCCTAAACCCTAAACCCTAAACCCTAAACCCTAACCCTAAGTAGGAGGCAAAAAACCCTAACCCTAAACCTTAAACCCTAAACCCTAAACCCTAACCCTAAGTAGGAGGCAAAAAACCATAACCCTAAACCCTAAACCGGGTTCGGGCTCCAGGCGCTGGCGACTTTCAAGAAGGCTATCGCCGGTCAGGCCAGCTATGTGACTGGTGCTACTTAGAGGATCCCGGGACTTGGTAAGTAGAGTTATGATTAAGGTAACTATACTTTTCTTTACTTATAACCCCAATTAAGGGACTTATAACCTTACTTACTAAGTCCCATGATCCTCCAAGTAGTGGGGTATTTGTACAGGGCTCTTGGGTTTCTGTCCGGATTTTTTCGGGTTTACGACTATGATGCTGACTGCTATTGCGAGGACCTTTGTCCGTCAAGTTTACTATCTCATGGCGTATTGTGATGATGGCTCCGGCCACAAGCATAACGCCCGATGGTAACATGGTGGTCCTGATTACTATGTCGTGTGGCTGTGCCATGACGAGTGTTATTCACATGCTTCGTCATGAATCACAGCTATGCGTGTGTGGGTGTAAATCCTGAGCCGACGCCACCAACAAATATCCCGAACACTACGCCAGACCTTGGCGACCCTCAGCCAAAAGCCCTACCAGATATGTACAAAGCCCTCATCGACGCCCTCCTAGCATCCTAAACACCAGACTTTGTAGCCGCGTGTGATGGGATGCCGAAAAGGTTTGATATACGACTCAGAAAAAAATTGTGGAACCTGGACATTACCCTGAGCCCTAAACTCTAAACCTTG